AACAAAGCCTCTGCTCTTTGGAGATGTGGTTACTGGTCACATTAAGATGTCATCACATACAAAGCAGGACTAGCAGTCTTGCATAGTACATGGGGACAGCGAGGGCAAACTCACAGCGTCATAGAGAACGCCAGAGTGAAGAATAAGGTATTACACAGTACTCCTCCACTCCTAGACTAATGAGTATTAAACCCTTGCAGAGCAGCTCCATTTATACAAATCCCAGAGTTCAGCTTTAAAGGCCCTTTCACATTTATTCATCATGACAACGCTTGTTTTACCACAACGCACTAATGCGTATACTGTGCTGGAGTGCCATTCTGTTTAACAGAAATAGAAGTAGTCACTGGCAAGCCAATCTCCACTCTACTATTCCGTCTTAAATGGACATTGGATGGACATAACGTCACAATGAAAGGCAACGTTTCGGAACCGAAGTGGTTCCTTCATCAGGCAACGTGATGTTTGACTGACGGAGGAACCTATGCGGCCCTGAAAAGCTGCCTTTCAATGTGATGTTATGACCATCCAACGTCAATAAAGACGGAATAGTAGAGTGGGGATCGGCTTGCAGGTGACTTCTTATATTTCTGATTATGTGCGGCGTCATCTGCAGTCACAGGAGCACCGGCCCCAGGATCAAGGGTTTATATTGCTCAGGACTAGGGCTGCAACAAACGATTATTTTTATTATCGATTAGTTGGCTGATTATTTTTTCAATTAATCGGATAAAAAAAAAAAAAAATTAAATACCATATTTTACTTAGAATACACAAGTGGAGTAATCCACTGTATGTAAAGCCGCACTCAGCAGCCAGGACCTCGATGTAAAAAGTTTATTCCCCAGAATCTAAAACGTTACAAGCACAAGAACTGCAGGCTCGGACAGGTTTAGCCAAAAAGGCTTCATCACAGAGACTGCTTCAGAGTTCTCCTTCAGGTCTGCTCCTCTGCTGATTGACAGCAGGCGGATGCAATAGCCAGCCTGCTATTGGATTTTGAGATAGCCAATAGCAAGTTGGCTATTGCACCCAATGTAGAGTCAAAGTGGTCTCTCCTCCCCACTGGGCATCGGCCTGTGTCCACTCCGATCCCCGCTGCCTCTGCCAATACAGGCGGGGGAGAGCAGCAAGGATCGTAGAGGACACAAAGCGCAGCATGCGGCAGTCTCCCAGCAGGGAGGAGAGAGCTGCAGAGAGATGAGGGTGGAGGTTTGGGAGCTCGTCTCAATCGTAAGCACCAGCTGCAGGGGTCTGTGTCACCTCAGATCCCTGCTGGGAGCAGCTGGAACACAGAACCGATGAAACAACGGCTCCCAATGCGGAGGAAAGAACTAGAGGATCCAACCAACTAATCGATGACGATTCTCATTATTGATTATCGATTAAGTAATTGCAGACCTAATCAGAAGTGTGATGGAACTTCCATGTATTCCTTTTTCAGCTGATGGCACAACCAACCCCCTTTTGTAAAAAAAACTACACTAAAACCCCCAAATATTTACCTTAATCCATGGTCAGGGGGTACACAATGTGCCAGGTCTTCTATCTTCTGGACAGTCAAAGTCCAAGGATCCATTTTTGGGTGGCTGTCCTATGATGTGGATGTTTCCTATTGGCTGTCTATCACGGATGGGCTGCTATAACACTGGGGACGCAGATAGACTTCAGCAGTGGGCCATCGATGTTCACTGCTAGAAGATGTACTAATGATGGTCACATGGTGGCTCTAACATTTTTTTTTGCCCCTTCCAAAAACGTAGGTGAATAGTAGTAGCAAGGGGGGGGGAGTCGGTTTAGTAACTAGGCCATTCATACCACGCATACTATGGGTACTGCCAGTGACGACAACAGCCGCAGGTCAAAACAATGAGCTGATCCCGAGTTACAGGCAGCTGAGTCCACACAGCCTTACCTTTTCCTGTGGTCCAGCACCTTCTCAACTCTAAAGGGACGCTATTGGTCCTTTGGTATAAAGGACAGCTTCACTAACCAATAGGGAGGCTCAGAAGGGAGGACCCGGCCATTAAAAAAAAAAAAAAAAAAAAAGCTTACCCAGCAACTTCTGGAACCATTTT